GGGGTAGGTGAAGCACCCACACCTGCCCCCACCCTCATTCGTCCCACCCTGGGCCCTTGAGCAAGGCCCTTAACCCCCATGTTCAGTCAGGTCATCTGGATGTTTTTTCTCTCTCTCTCTCTCTTTTTTGTTTTGCTGCTGAGACGATTATCATATATATTAACAAATCCAAAGACCTGATACAGTACCTTGATGAGGCATAATCTTTAGATGATTGTGTAAATAATTCAACCAGTAGTTCTTTGGGCTTCACCTTGTTGGTCTTTTTTATGTTTATTAGATAATATTAATTTTTGATTCTCCTAAGGAAATGGGAACAGTATAAGTCTTTGTGGTAACAAAAAGCCTAAAGACTAAGTTTAATTTGGTTCTTTGCTAAGATGTCTGTAATACATAATACAGTTTTCACCCTCTGGTTTTTCATCTTATCATCCTGATTCCAGACTGAACCCTATTAGATCATTAGAGCAAACCTTATTGTTCACCTCTGTTTAACTTTATAAAAATAAAAATAAAATCCTACTGAAGCTCTAATCCCATATGAAACAAGGGTCAGTGCTGGTCACCATGCAAACAATATGACATATGACTGCCTCTTTTTAACCCAAACATGATTCACACTTTAATAAAAGGAAGCTGTCAAAGCATTGATAGCATCATTTATTTTATCTTCTACAGGTTCTTATTGCAACTAGAAAAAGTTGCCAAATAGCACATATTGTTCTGATCTACTGTCCTCATTCATGTTTTATTGTCCCTCATCATATGACAAATAAAAAGAAAACAGTATTTATTAAAGCGTCTTAAAAGATGATGTGTATTTTTGAGAATTGCATAAACAAGAACACATGAAGGCAATTTTAAAGTAATCCCACTGCTGCAACATCTTATGCAACTGCATAAACAAAGTTTAAAAAAAGAGCAAAAAATTCATTATTAGCAAAACTCATCTTTACAATTACAGACCAATATTCTTTGAAGGAATACATATCACCCACATAATCTAAAATCATCTTATGATGAGAAATACTGGGGTTGTAGTAGTTTTGGGCAAACCTTGAAAAGTGTACATGTTCAGTCTCACGCAAGATCTCACAACATGTGTAAAGTCTCAATGTGTTGGAGATAACACAACTGCTAGCACACCAAACTTTTGCACAAGTTGTTCCATTTTAGATGTTCATCCAGTGGTTACTTTCTGACAGAGCCTAATTTGGAAACCAATCAATGATTGAACGCAAATAGAGGATGGGCTGGTCATCCACCCCCAGAAAATTTTGAATTAAGTCAATAAGATTTCCTGCATTTTGGTGTATTTTAACAGGTTGTTAAACATCTACGTCGTTTACCTACATTTGTAAACACTTTGCTTCTGTCAAGCATCCTCCCCCTTACCTGACGGTTCCGAGCCCGACTCTTCTCCACTGACTTCACTGTCCTGCTCGTTGTTTTCTGAGTCCACGTGCCTCCAGGCGCCTCCTCCGTCTGTTCATGGCGGCTTCCTGTGGGCTCCTGCATTGCATACGACTGCCTGGTTAGCATGGCACTCACCCCCACCACTCTTTAATGGCAGAGATTATTTTAAGTGTAGAGGCGGAAATGCTTACTTGAAAAGGCAGCTCGTATGTGATATTAAGAAGCTCGTAAGTGGCTGTTGTGTTTAAAATTAGTGTTTATGTAAATATTTTCAGTCTACATATCCAATATAAGTTTTATTCATTCAAGGAAGTCATATTTGTTCATAACTTTATTATTACCGTAGTAAGCCTGAGAGTTACTGGATCCAAGCAAACAGTTACCGGAACACACCCTGTCAAAATAAGAGAGTTCCTGCATCCTGTTCCCGCAAGATCCGGCTCAAACGAAACCTTGCTTTCTGAAAGTTGCATTAAAATATGACCAGTGTTTCATGAGATGTTTTGGTAACAGACATACAAAAACACACAGACTCGGGCAAAAACAATACTGTCCAACTAGTGATAATCAATTCCAATTATTCAATATAAAACCTACAAAACCTGCAGATCTTTGACATCCAACTGTGCTGCTAAAAGACGCTAGCAGCTCTTTTCATGTATCTAGTTTGCATCTGTGTGTGTGTGTGTGACAGATAGCATGTTTCCTATTAGCGTCCATGATTTCCCCAGAGAGCCGGCACAACAGCGTTGCGGAGTCTGAATGTCGTCAGGAGAGTGTAAAGTACAAAGCAATGAGCCTAAAACCTGGGAGGGAGCAAGCAAAAACATTTTTTATGGTTTAATAACATTGAGAAAGAGCGGATGGAACTGAATGTCCGATATTGTGTGTTGCAAAAATGATTGTGTCACATAAAATCATGTTTTCTTTTAAATTTGCGGTGCACGCTTTGGGTGTCTATGTGTACATAACCGCTGAGACCATACAGACGTATACTAGAATGAGGTTTGATGGTTTTCTTGCTCTAAGAGCTGTGAATACAGCCCCTGTGTGTGAGTGAGTTTACCTATAGTAGTCCAGGAAACGCACATGATTGCTTGTGATTGTGAGGTTCTGGTAGACC